AAATTACTGTTCGGTGCTTCAGATTTTTAATTTGAATCATTCTCGTATTGTGTTTTAGATTATTCAAAACATTGACAAATAGATTTCGCGAAAGCAAGCTTATTCTTTAACACTACTTGAAAGCTAAAACTTAAGTCTCATTAGGTCTCGATATAGATCCGCCCCTGACAAAGAAGAGACGAAAGACGAGAAGCCAGCTGGGCGGTAAGAGAAGAACGAGGACCGCGGATCCGGCGATGATAATGATTCCGACGATGATAGACGGCTCGTTATTACTATACGCGTTCGCGTGAGATAGAGAGGGAGACAGGCGGCCGGTGCGTTCATGTTTTAGAGCTGGGAGCGATTGGTCGACGCCATTACTCACACCGTTTGCGCCTGCCACATGGTCCTCTTCTCATCCTTACCTTCTTTCCTTCCTACCTCTCTTCCTCTCTCCACTTCTGCACTCACGCTTCTGTCCACCTCTTCTTTTAACCCTTTCGCCATCCCGTCTGGTCTCTCTCTCTCTCTCTCTCTCTCTCTCTCTCTCTCTCTCTCTCTCTCTCTCTCTCTCACGCGCGCGCGCACACACACACACACATTTGTCTCTTCCTTTTCTTCCCCAGTCATCTTCTCTTCGGCTTTCGCTTCTTCTCACTCGTTATTCTCATTCACTTCATCCATTCTCTTCTATCTCGTTTTATACCCCTTTTTTCCCTCCGGTTCTGACTTTCAAACGCGAGATCTGACGGCTGTATCGTACCTCCTTAGGGCGCGTATTTTATTTGGCGCGCCCTTCAATTACCTCGTACGCAATTCGAATGAAGAAGAACAATTGCTATATTAGATGCTCGCCGGATGGGTGTGTTAATACATTTTACTCGTGACGCGCGATCGCAGCCGCTTGATTCAACGATTTATTATTTTCTTCGAGGCATCCGCGGAGAGATACAGGCTTGCCGCGCCAATAAGCGCGTATACCGTTCTCTCGTTCAAGAAAAATCGCTTTGTCAAGGTAAACAAATTTTGTCTATACTCTCTGTCCAAGAGCACAAAAGGATTGTACAAAAAAATCATAGCACGCAAGCAAGAAATAAATTACGACGCGCTTGAATTGTCGTCATCGTTGTAAATATCGATTATGTAATTTTCTTTTGGATGAAATAAAAAACCGAGGAGTGGTGTTTGTCGCTCGAGTTTTTGTCAAAAAATTACGTAATCGCGAAACTTTCTTCTCTCAACGAGATGCGAAGAAATTTATCACTAATTGCACGATCCAGTTTGAAAAGAGTTAACAGGTCAAATGTAAAGAAGTAGAACGCGACGATTGACAAGTTTGACCTCGATGTCGAAATCGCACGTGCGACAGATACGATATCAATTGCGAGTCTTTCTTCACCTTATCGGCCGGTTCCATCGTCGTCGCCGACATTCGTGATATGACATGACAGTCGGTTTGTGCGCGACATTATGAAGATGTCCTCGACGTACAACGAAACGACGACGAGGACGACGACGATGACAG